AACAAGAAAGTATTCTGTCATAGTGGAATAAAAAATTATTCTGAGAAGCGAGCAAGAAAGCATTCAGTCACAGTGGAAGAAGAAAGTATTTTGTCACAGTGGAACAAGAACGCATTCAGTCACAGTAGAACAAGAAAGCATTCTATCACAGTGGAACAAGAACGGATTCAGTCACAGTAGAGCAAGAAAGCATTCAGTCACAGTGGAACAAGAAAGTATTCAATCACAGTAGAACAAGAAAGTATTCAGTCACAGTGGAACAAGAAAGCATTCTATCACAGTGGAACAAGAAAGCATTCAGTCACAGTAGAACAAGAAAGTATGCTGTCACAGTGGAACAAGAAAGCGTTCAGTCACAGTGGAACAAGAAAGCATTCTATCACAGTGGAACAAGAACGCATTCAGTCACAGTAGAGGAAGAAAGCATTCAGTCACAGTAGAACAAGTACGCATTCAGTCAGAGTGGAACAAGAAAGTATTCTGTCATAGTTGAACAGGAAAGTATTCTGTTATAACGGAACAAAAAAATATTCTGGCACAATAGAATAAGAAAGCATTCAGTCACAGTGGAACAAGAAAGCATTCAGTCACAGTGGAACAAGAAAGTATGCTGTCACAGTGGAACAAGAAAGCGTTCAGTCACAGTAGAACAAGAAAACATTCTATCACAGTGGAACAAGAACGCATTCAGTCACAGTAGAGCAAGAAAGCATTCAGTCACAGTAGAACAAGTACGCATTCAGTCAGAGTGGAACAAGAAAGTATTCTGTCATAGTTGAACAGGAAAGTATTCTGTTATAACGGAAGAAAAAATATTCTGGCACAATAGAATAAGAAATCATTCAGTCACAGTGGAACAAGAAAGCATTCAGTCACAGTGGAACAAGAAAGTATACTGTCAAAGTGGGACAAATAATTATTCTGGTACAAGAGAACAAAAAAGCATTCAGTCACAGTAGAACAAGAAAGCATTGTATCACAGTGAAACAAGAAAGGATTAAGTCACAGTGGAACAAGAAAGCATTCAGTCACAATAGTACAAGAAAGCATTCAATCACAGTGAAACAAGAACTGATTCAGTCACAGTGGAACAAGAACTCATTCAGTCACAGTGGAACTAGAAAGCGTTCAGTCACAGTAGAACAAGAAAGCATTCTATCACAGTGAAACATGAAAGCATTCAATCACAGTAGAATAAGAAAGCATTCAATCACAGTGGAACGAGAAAGCATTCAATCACAGTAGAATAAGAAAGCATTCAATCACAGTAGAACAAGAAAGTATTCAGTCACAGTGGAACAAGAAAGTATTCTGTCATAGTGGAACAAAAAAATTATTCTGAGAAGCGAGCAAGAAAGCATTCAGTCACAGTGGAAGAAGAAAGTATTTTGTCACAGTGGAACAAGAAAGCGTTCAGTCACAGTAGAACAAGAAAGCATTCAATCACAGTAGAACAAGAAAGTATTCAGTCACAGTGGAACAAGAAAGTACTCTGTCATAATGGAACAAAAAATTATTCTGAGAAGCGAGCAAGAAAGCATTCAGTCACAGTGGAAGAAGAAAGTATTTTGTCACAGTGGAACAAGAACGCATTCAGTCACAGTAGAACAAGAAAGCATTCTATCATAGTGGAACAAGAACGTATTCAGTCACAGTGGAACAAGAAAGCATTCTGTCATAGTGGAACAAGAAAGCATTCTGTAATAACGGAACAAAAAATTATTCTGGCAAAGTTGAACAAGAAAGCATTCAGTCACAATAGAACCAGAAAGCATTCAGTCACAGTGGAACAAGAAAGCATTTTGTCACAGTGGAACAAGAAAGCATTCAGTCACAGTGGAACAAGAAAGCATTCAGGCACAGTAGAATAAGAAAGCATTAAGTCACAGTGGAACAAGAAAGTATTCAGTCACAGTGGAATAAGAACGCATTCAGTCACAGTAGAACAAGAAAGCATTCTATCACAGTGGAACAAGAACGCATTCAGCCACAGTAGAGCAAGAAAGCATTCAGTCACAGTGGAACAAGAACGCATTCAGTCACAGTAGAACAAGAAAGTATTCAGTCACAGTGGAACAAGAAAGTATTCTGTCATAGTGGAATAAAAAAATATTCTGAGAAGCGAGCAAGAAAGCATTCAGTCACAGTGGAAGAAGAAAGTATTTTGTCACAGTGGAACAAGAACGCATTCAGTCACAGTAGAACAAGAAAGCATTCTATCACAGTGGAAGAAGAACGCATTCAGTCACAGTAGAGCAAGAAAGCATTCAGTCACTGTGGAACAAGAAAGTATTCTGTCATAGTTGAACAGGAAAGTATTCTGTTATAACGGAACAAAAAAAATTCTGGCACAATAGAATAAGAAAGCATTCAGTCACAGTGGAATAAGAAAGCATTCAGTCACAGTGGAACAAGAAAGTATGCTGTCACAGTGGAACAAGAAAGCGTTCAGTCACAGTAGAGCAAGAAAGCATTCAGTCACAGTAGAACAAGAAAGCATTCTATCACAGTGGAACAAGAACGCATTCAGTCACAGTAGAGCAAGAAAGCATTCAGTCACAGTAGAACAAGTACGCATTCAGTCAGAGTGGAACAAGAAAGTATTCTGTCATAGTTGAACAGGAAAGTATTCTGTTATAACGGAACAAAAAATATTCTGGCACAATAGAATAAGAAATCATTCAGTCACACTGGAACAAGAAAGCATTCAGTCACAGTGGAACAAGAAAGTATACTGTCAAAGTGGGACAAATAATTATTCTGGTACAAGAGAACAAAAAAGCATTCAGTCACAGTAGAACAAGAAAGCATTGTAGCACAGTGAAACAAGAAAGCATTAAGTCACAGTGGAACAAGAAAGCATTCAGTCACAATAGTACAAGAAAGCATTCAATCACAGTGAAACAAGAACTGATTCAGTCACAGTGGAACAAGAACTCATTCAGTCACAGTGGAACTAGAAAGCGTTCAGTCACAGTAGAACAAGAAAGCATTGTATCACAGTGGAACAAGAACGCATTCAGTCACAGTAGAGCAAGAAAGCATTCAGTCACAGTGGAACAAGAAAGTATTCTGTCATAGTTGAACAGGAAAGTATTCTGTTATAACGGAACAAAAAAATATTCTGGCACAATAGAATAAGAAATCATTCAGTCACAGTGGAAGAAGAAAGCATTCAGTCACAGTGGAACAAGAAAGTATACTGTCAAAGTGGGACAAATAATTATTCTGGTACAAGAGAACAAAAAAGCATTCAGTCACAGTAGAACAAGAAAGCATTGTAGCACAGTGAAACAAGAAAGCATTAAGTCACAGTGGAACAAGAAAGCATTCAGTCACAATAGTACAAGAAAGCATTCAATCACAGTGAAACAAGAACTGATTCAGTCACAGTGGAACAAGAACTCATTCAGTCACAGTGGAACTAGAAAGCGTTCAGTCACAGTAGAACAAGAAAGCATTGTATCACAGTGAAACAAGAAAGCATTCAATCACAGTAGAATAAGAAAGCATTCAATCACAGTGGAACGAGAAAGCATTCAATCACAGTAGAATAAGAAAGCATTCAATCACAGTAGAACAAGAAAGTATTCTGTCATAGTGGAACAAGAAATTATTCTGAGAAGCGAGCAAGAAAGCATTCAGTCACAGTGGAAGAAGAAAGTATTTTGTCACAGTGGAACAAGAAAGCGTTCAGTCACAGTAGAACAAGAAAGCATTCTATCATAGTGGAACAAGAACGCATTCAGTCACAGTAGAGCAAGAAAGCATTCAGTCACAGTAGAACAAGTACGCATTCAGTCACAGTGGAAGAAGAAAGCATTCAGTCACAGTGGAAGAAGAAAGTATTCTGTCATAGTTGAACAGGAAAGTATTCTGTTATAACGGAACAAAAAAATATTCTGGCACAAAAGAATAAGAAAGCATTCAGTCACAGTGGAACAAGAAAGCATTCAGTCACAGTGGAAGAAGAAAGTATGCTGTCAAAGTGGAACAAATAATTATTCTGATACAATAGAAGAAAAAAGCATTCAGTCACAGTAGAACAAGAAAGCATTGTATCACAGTGAAACAAGAAAGCATTAAGTCACAGTGGAACAAGAAAGCATTCAGTCACAATAGAACAAGAAAGCATTCAGTCACAGTGGAACAAGAAAGCATTCAGTCACAGTGGAACAAGAAAGCATTCAGTCACAATAGAACAAGAAAGCATTCAGTCACAGTGGAACAAGAAAGCATTCAGTCACAGTAGAAGAAGAAAGCATTCAGTCACAGTGGAACAAGAAAGCATTCAGTCACAGTGGAACAAGAACGCATTCAGTCACAGTGGAACAAGAAAGCATTCAGTCACAGTAGAACTAGAAAGTATTCAGTCACAATAGAACAAGAAAGCATTCAGTCATAGTGGAAGAAAAATTTATTCTGGCACAATAGAATAAGAAAGCATTCAGTCACAGTAGAACAAGAAAGCATTCAGTCACAGTGAAACAAGAAAGCATTTAGTCACAATAGAACAAGAAAGCATTCAGTCATAGTGGAACAAGAAAGCATTCAGTCATAGTGGAACAAGAAAGCATTCAGTCACAGTAGAACAAGAACGCATTCAGTCACAGTAGAACAAGAAAGCATTCAGTCACAGTGGAACAAGAAAGCATTCAGTCACAGTGGAACAAGAAAGTATTCAGTCACAATAGAACAAGAAAGCATTCAGTCATAGTGGAACAAAAATTTATTCTGGCACAATAGAATAAAAAGGCATTCAGTCACAGTGGAACAAGAAAGCGTTCAGTCACAATAGAACTAGAAAGCATTCAGTCACAGTGGAACAAGAAAGCATTCAGTCACAGTGGAACAAGAAAGCATTCAGTCACAGTAGAACTAGAAAGCATTCAGTCACAGTGGAACAAGAAATCATTCAGTTTCAGTAGAACAAAAAAACATTTTATCATGATCATAATATTTTGATCCAAACTGGGAAGGATTTGTCAATATTTACATACTTGCACTACAAGATGGATTAGGCGGTTTGTTCTTAGTGATTGTGATTGTGAAATTCCTCTCGTCCTTTCCTCCATTTCCATCGGTGCATGTCAGAACACACGTGTAGGAGGGGGTGTTCTTGAAGGACAGGGTGGGGGACCCGGAATAGTGGACCTTCTTGTCTGACAACATAGAGCAAGGTTTTTCACAGTCAGAGCATGGGTACAGGACAGTTATAAAAAAAATAATGCAGGTGTTCTAACTTCAAATAAAACAATGCTTAAAATACAGTCTGCAATTATTTGGTTATTTGGTTAATTTCCCGTGATAACAATGTGGCGACTCACTTTGTACAGCGAACTCGGTGGTGCCTGGTGAGCACGCCATGGCGATGGTGACGGTGTCGGCCGGCTCAGGGTCTGTTGCTGTGATGTCCGACCCTGGGATGTCCTTAGATGTGGCGTCCTCCGGTAGCTGGAGTCCCGTGGGAGCTGTACAGGTGGGCGCCTTGTTCTGACACAGATGTAAGTGATTACATATGGTGGAGCTGTTCAGGTGGGCGCCTTGTTCTGACACAGATGTAAGTGATTACATATGATGGAGCTGTACAGGTGGGCGCCTTGTTCTGACACAGATGTAAGTGATTACATATGATGGAGCTGTTCAGGTGGGCGCCTTGTTCTGACACAGATGTAAGTGATTACATATGGTGGAGCTGTTCAGGTGGGCGCCTTGTTCTGACACAGATGTAAGTGATTACATATGATGGAGCTGTACAGGTGGGCGCCTTGTTCTGACACAGATGTAAGTGATTACATATGATGGAGCTGTTCAGGTGGGCGCCTTGTTCTGACACAGATGTAAGTGATTACATATGGTGGAGCTGTACAGGTGGGCGCCTTGTTCTGACACAGATGTAAGTGATTACCTATGTGTGAGCTGTACAGGTGGGCGCCTTGTTCTGACACAGATGTAAGTAATTACCTATGGTGGAGCTGTACAGGTGGGCGCATTGTTCTGACACAGATGTAAGTGATTACATATGGTGGAGCTGTACAGGTGGGCGCCTTGTTCTGACACAGATGTAAGTGATTACATATGGTGGAGCTGTACAGGTGGGCGCCTTGTTCTGACACAGATGTAAGTGATTACCTATGTGTGAGCTGTACAGGTGGGCGCCTTATTCTGACACAGATGTAAGTGATTACATATGGTGGAGCTGTACAGGTGGGCGCCTTGTTCTGACACAGATGTAAGTGATTACATATGGTGGAGCTGTACAGTTGGGCGCCTTGTTCTGACACAGATGTAAGTGATTACATATGAGTGAGCTGTACAGGTGGGCGCCTTGTTCTGACACAGATGTAAATGATTACATATGGTGGAGCTGTACAGGTGGGCGCCTTGTTCTGACACAGATGTAAGTAATTACATATGAGTGAGCTGTACAGGTGGGCGCCTTGTTCTGACACAGATGTAAGTGATTACATATGGTGGAGCTGTACAGGTGGGCGCCTTGTTCTGACACAGATGTAAGTGATTACATACGGTGGAGCTGTACAGGTGGGCGCCATGTTCTGACACAGATGTAAGTGATTACATATGGTGGAGCTGTTCAGGTGGGCGCCCTGTTCTGACACAGATGTAAGTGATTACATATAGTGGAGCTGTACAGGTGGGCGCCTTGTTCTGACACAGATGCAAGTGATTGCATATGGTGGAGCTGTACAGGTGGGCGCCTTGTTCTGACACAGATGTAAGTGATTACATATGATGGAGCTGTACAGGTGGGCGCCTTGTTCTGACACAGATGTAAGTGATTACATATGGTGGAGCTGTACAGGTGGGCGCCTTGTTCTGACACAGATGTAAGTAATAACATATGAGTGAGCTGTACAGGTGGGCGCCTTGTTCTGGCACAGATGTAAGTGATTACATATGATGGAGCTGTACAGGTGGGCGCCTTGTTCTGACACAGATGAAAGTGATTACATATGGTGGAGCTGTACAGGTGGGCGCCTTGTTCTGACACAGATGCAAGTGATTACATATGATGGAGCTGTTCAGGTAGGCGCCTTGTTCTGACACAGATGTAAGTGATTACATATGGTGGAGCTGTACAGGTGGGCGCCTTGTTCTGACACAGATGTAAGTGATTACATATCATGGAGCTGTACAGGTGGGCGCCTTGTTCTGACACAGATGCAAGTGATTACATATGGTGGAGCTGTACAGGTGGGCGCCTTGTTCTGACACAGATGTAAGTGATTACATATGATGGAGCTGTACAAGTGGGCGCTTTGTTCTGACACAGATGTAAGTGATTACATATGGTGGAGCTGTACAGGTGTGCGCCTTGTTCTGACACAGATGTAAGTGATTACATATGATGGAGCTGTACAGGTGTGCGCCTTGTTCTGACACAGATGTAAGTGATTACATATGATGGAGCTGTACAGGTGGGCGCCTTGTTCTGACACAGATGCAAGTGATTACATATGATGGAGCTGTACAGGTGGGCGCCTTGTTCTGACAGATGTAAGTGATTACATATGATGGAGCTGTTCAGGTGGGCGCCTTGTTCTGACACAGATGTAAGTGATTACATATGGTGGAGCTGTTCAGGCTGGCGCCTTGTTCTGACACAGATGTAAGTGATTACATATGGTGGAGCTGTACAGGTGGGCGCCTTGTTCTGACACAGATGTAAGTGATTACATATGAGTGAGCTGTACAGGTGGGCGCCTTGTTCTGACACAGATGTAAGTGATTACATATGAGTGAGCTGTACAGGTTGGCGCCTTGTTCTGACACAGATGTAAGTGATTACATATGATGGAGCTGTTCAGGTGGGCGCCTTGTTCTGACACAGATGTAAGTGATTACATATGGTGCAGCTGTTCAGGTGGGCGCCTTGTTCTGACACAGATGTAAGTGATTACATATGATGGAGCTGTTCAGGTGGGCCCCTTGTTCTGACACAGATGTAAGTGATTACATATGGTGCAGCTGTTCAGGTGGGCGCCTTGTTCTGACACAGATGTAAGTGATTACATATGGTGGAGCTGTTCAGGTGGGCGCCTTGTTCTGACACAGATGTAAGTGATTACATACTGTGGAGCTGTTCAGGTGGGCGCCTTGTTCTGACACAGATGTAAGTGATTACATATGATGGAGCTGTTCAGGTGGGCCCCTTGTTCTGACACAGATGTAAGTGATTACATATGGTGCAGCTGTTCAGGTGGGCGCCTTGTTCTGACACAGATGTAAGTGATTACATATGATGGAGCTGTTCAGGTGGGCGCCTTGTTCTGACACAGATGTAAGTGATTACATATGGTGGAGCTGTTCAGGTGGGCGCCTTGTTCTGACACAGATGTAAGTGATTACATATGGTGCAGCTGTACAGGTGGGCGCCTTGTTCTGACACAGATGTAAGTGATTACATATGGTGCAGCTGTTCAGGTGGGCGCCTTGTTCTGACACATATGTAAGTGATTACATATGGTGCAGCTGTTCAGGTGGGCGCCTTGTTCTGACACAGATGTAAGTGATTACATATGATGGAGCTGTACAGGTGGGCGCCTTGTTCTGACACAGATGTAAGTGATTACATATGATGGAGCTGTTCAGGTGGGCGCCTTGTTCTGACACAGATGTAAGTGATTACATATGGTGGAGCTGTACAAGTGTGCGCCTTGTTCTGACACAGATGTAAGTGATTACATATGGTGGAGCTGTTCAGGTGGGCGCCTTGTTCTGACACAGATGTAGGTGATTACATATGGTGGAGCTGTACAAGTGTGCGCCTTGTTTTGACACAGATGTAAGTGATTACATATGGTGGAGCTGTACAAGTGTGCGCCTTGTTCTGACACAGATGTAAGTGATTACATATGGTGGAGCTGTACAAGTGTGCGCCTTGTTCTGACACAGATGTAAGTGATTACATATGGTGGAGCTGTTCAGGCTGGCGCCTTGTTCTGACACAGATGTAAGTGATTACATATGGTGGAGCTGTACAGGTGGGCGCCTTGTTCTGACACAGATGTAAGTGATTACATATGAGTGAGCTGTACAGGTGGGCGCCTTGTTCTGACACAGATGTAAGTGATTACATATGAGTGAGCTGTACAGGTTGGCGCCTTGTTCTGACACAGATGTAAGTGATTACATATGATGGAGCTGTTCAGGTGGGCGCCTTGTTCTGACACAGATGTAAGTGATTACATATGGTGCAGCTGTACAGGTGGGCGCCTTGTTCTGACACAGATGTAGGTGATTACATATGATGGAGCTGTTCAGGTGGGCGCCTTGATCTGACACAGATGTAAGTGATTACATATGATGGAGCTGTACAAGTGGGCGCTTTGTTCTGACACAGATGTAAGTGATTACATATGGTGGAGCTGTACAGGTGTGCGCCTTGTTCTGACACAGATGTAAGTGATTACATATGATGGAGCTGTACAGATGGGCGCCTTGTTCTGACACAGATGTAAGTGATTACATATGTGGGAGCTGTACAGGTGGGCGCCTTGTTCTGACACAGATGTAAGTGATTACATATGTGGGAGCTGTACAGGTGGGCGCCTTGTTCTGACACAGATGTAAGTGATTACATATGGTGGAGCTGTTCAGGTGGGCGCCTTGTTCTGACACAGATGTAAGTGATTACATATGGTGGAGCTGTACAGATGTGCGCCTTGTTCTGACACAGATGTAAGTGATTACATATGATGGAGCTGTACAGATGGGCGCCTTGTTCTGACACAGATGTAAGTGATTACATATGATGGAGCTGTACAAGTGGGCGCCTTGTTCTGACACAGATGTAAGTGATTACATATGGTGGAGCTGTTCAGGCTGGCGGCTTGTTCTGACACAGATGTAAGTGATTACATATGATGGAACTGTACAGATGGGCGCTTTGTTCTGACACAGATGTAAGTGATTACATATGATGGAGCTGTTCAGGTGGGCGCCTTGTTCTGACACAGATGTAAGTGATTACATATGTGTGAGCTGTACAGGTGGGCGCCTTGTTCTGACACAGATGTAAGTGATTACATATGATGGAGCTGTACAGATGGGCGCCTTGTTCTGACACAGATGTAAGTGATTACATATGATGGAGCTGTACAGGTGTGCGCCTTGTTCTGACACAGATGCAAGTGATTACATATGGTGGAGCTGTTCAGGTGGGCGCCTTGTTCTGACACAGATGTAAGTGATTACATATGATGGAGCTGTTCAGGTGGGTGCCTTGTTCTGACACAGATGTAAGTGATTACATATGATGGAGCTGTACAGGTGGGCGCCTTGTTCTGACACAGATGTAAGTGATTACATATGGTGGAGCTGTACAGGTGTGCGCCTTGTTCTGACACAGATGTAAGTGATTACATATGATGGAGCTGTAGAGGTGGGCGCCTTGTTCTGACACAGATGTAAGTGATTACATATGGTGGAGCTGTAGAGGTGGGCGCCTTGTTCTGACACAGATGTAAGTG